ACACAGACACCGCTTCATTGAAAAAATTCACACCCTACCCCCTCTCCTTTCCACGTTTCCCATCCTGCTTTAGTACGCTCAAGAATTCTCGGCAAGTCAGTCAGTTTTAAGGAGTGAAACAGGCGTGTAAAAGGCAGTAAGGACTTCTTGGGCAGGCTAAGCTGGGCCAAAACCGATAGTCCCTCGTTTAGGTAGATTCGTGCCGTGCGGGCGGCGGCCCACCGCCCTTGGATCAGGATTCTATCCAGAGATCCGTGCTTACCAAACCAAAATGTGGCCCCACCCCTGCGGAGTGAGTAAGGCCTAAACCCCATATCACTCAACGACAGTGCAGCGAGGCATTCACTAAATTTGGCTCGCCATTGATGCGGGGGAGGTGTCAGCGGGCTGTGTGAGGTTGAGGTTTTCTTCCAAGCCCAAAGCCATGCAAGAACGGGACCTACTGTGACAGTGATACTCTCTGCAGCCCCTGTGCGTTTGCCACCTTTCGTCATCCCTAGGGATACGACGGCAGGCTTGTCCGGACCCGTCATGAAAATGTGGTGGTTGCACACTGACAAGAGTTCACCTGTACGAAGAAGTCCGTAGAAACCCAACATCAAAGAAAGCCCGAACGCATACTGTTCGTGGAACAAGCACCAGCCTAACATGGCCTCGAGGACCGCCTCCGGTAACGGAGGTGCACGGTTGGGCACCTCATTAGTGTGCCAAGTCTTCAGGAGACGCCATGTCCCTTGGAGCTTTCCTTTCAACTGAGGTTCTGCATCCTGCATGGCAGCAACACTGTCACTTGCTAGAGCTCGCCCCTCTCCCGAGGCCCATAGGTGCTCAACGTAGTCAGAGAGAAGGTCATCAAAAGCTGGCAGTCTACGAGGCAGCTCCAACTGGTTTTCATGCAGGTAGGCGTAGAACTTCTCCCGGGCAGCCTGGTAGCGCTTTCGCGTCTTGGGTTGTATGGCCAGTTGCTTCAACGTTCCTAAGCTTTGTCGTTGCTTCGCTCTCTCTTCTTTGCTGCGACCCTCCAAATGCACACCTACCTTCCCCATTTGCGTCGGAGCGGCCGCCGGCTAGGCCGGTCGGCAGGGTTTTGACTTGTATGCACGTAACCCCAACAGGGGTGGAGGTCGGCAGCGAGAAGGAGCGAGTTGACTTTCACCAACACCATGCGAAGCTTCTGACTTGAGGAACGCCCACGCGACAAAGCATGCAAACACACCAGGCTATCAATGAGATGCAACACCCTACATTGTCTCAAACGCCGGCGCTGGACCATCCATCTGATTGTGGTCAAGACTGCCCGAAGCTCTAGGATGTTGATGTGATCCCCTGCACGTTTCCACGACCAACCGGCGACCTCTCGCCACTTCCACAGCTTTGCTGGGACACTCGTCCTCAACCGATGGAACTTGACCTGCGGCTCACTGGCACTCTGGACCATCAAATCCTCACCTTTGATGGAAACTAGGCCTAACAACTTGCGCAACAAGGGCTTCTCAAGGCAAGTCAACAAGCGACCATGCACCCCCACTGGAGGTCGAAGTAGCAAGCTTTGTAGGTGTGTGCCTCTCCCGGGCGTGAGCTTGTCCACAATGTCCTGCACGGAGTGAGGGCGACAGAGGCCCAGTTTGAAGGCCAATTGGTACACAAGCCAAGCAATAACTCCTACCTGCCAGGAGTTACCCACAAGTGTAAGGCGAATGTCATTCCAATGGTCTCCTCGCTGATCCTGTTTACCAACGCAAGGTCGAGTGTATCCCACTGGGATCCCCATGCACGCTTCTCGTTCAGCGATGTTGGGCAACCGTCCTTCCCCCCTTTTGTTCCAAACCAATTGATGGTCACGGTATTGGTAAGGCGGGAACCTGAAGGAGTCATTCTCCCAGCGTTGGCGTTCATGCTCTGCGCAACGGTCCAACCCGGCTGGGCGACGTCCTGGCGAACTCCTTGGCCTTGAGGTGGTGAACGTAGGGAACCTGGCCCCTTGGGCTACATGCCAACCTGCTTCAAGCAAGGATTCCCCATGGATGTCCGCGGTCAAGTCCACTGAACCGACGAAGTCACAGCCCGACTTTTCGGGAGCGTTCACAACAGCTCCCTCCTGCGGAGTCAGCTCCCAAGACACCCAGTACAGCCGCGGCCTATGACAGAGCGTGATGCCGGCCGAATCAATGTAGTGAGGTTGTAAGTTCACAGCACGACTCATCACCACCCGATCAGCGTCTGACATGGATGCGACTGATTCCATGAGGAGGTGTACTTGGGCCCACGGGAAATACTGTTCAAACAGACTTCTGATCCGTGGCACTTCCTGGAAGAGGCTACTCCTGGCGTCCAACAGTGCTCCCTTCTTACTGGCGTTGAGCCCGCTCACACCTTGGCACGGTGGTCCCGCACCAATCAGTACCAGCCCAACAGATGGAAACCTGAGGCTAAGAGATCGCACCACTGAGGAATCCACGGTCACGACATCTTCATGAAAAATGGCATCAGGGAAGTAGGACTCAACTACGCGTCTTGCCGTGGGCTCCTTCTCCACACTCAAGTGTCCTGCTACCGGTATGCCCAGAGCATCAACCGCCAACCTGAGGGCACCAAGTCCGTCAAAGAGACCAACGGTCAGTACCTGTGTGATCTGAATCTCCTCGGGTATGTCACCTCTCACCTCAGACCCTAATGCAGCAACACCATAGCCCGTGAGCCCTTCACTCACACAAAAGCCTCCACCCCGTGTGGAAGCGTCACTGCACGTCACATGTTCTGCCAGAGGCAACTTCATGCTCATTTGTGCAAGCGGACAAATCAAAATGAACCTGAGAAGCTCCTTCACCACCCGCTTCGGCATTGGCATACGCACTACAGGCGGCAGGTGCTTCAACTTCTCCATGAACCTCCAGACCTCGTTGAGGGCGCACAGCAAGGGTCGACGAAACATGCAGAAGTACACGAAACCTCCACACACCACTTGCAACTCTTTGAGCGTGCACCGCTTCCGTTGAACAAGGTTCAGAGCAAGGGACACATAGAGCAGTACCTTTTCAGGACGCGGCATGGCAAAACCTAACTCCCCGTCCACGATCGCACCTTGTATTTCACCTTTAAGCACGCGCTCTGTAGCCTTCTTCGGGTGCCGTGGCAGCCCCAACCGGGAGTACTCCTCCCTCAAAGCCTCAACCGTCTCCGCAACAGTCCCCTTAATCACTTCCGCCTGGGCCTGACTATGTCGCTCCAGAAGATCAAAATTGTCAAGGTAAACCCTGAAGAGGGCAGAGGACGAAGAACCTACTCTGTCACGCCTCATTTCAGTTTCTCCGCCAAGGCCATGAGGTAAATTCTGTTGGCTCCACTTGACCACGTTTCTGTGAATGTGTTGTGCGATGGACACGCTATTCACAAAACCCATCGGCAGCACTTTAGAGACCAACACACAACGCTTGCCCTTCCATTTGTTTGGGACCAGAGCCTCATCAACCTCCTTATTGAAGCCCAAAAACCTTCTCCACTCAAGGGGAACTTGGAAGAGGTAAAAGAAACACCGAATATCTTCAGCGCTCATCACTGCCACCTCCCCCTCATCTAGCAGAAAGCTGTTGAAAGAAGCAATGGACGGGAGTGTGGCGACCTCTCCAACGAGTGGTTCACAAACACGATTGAAAGGCACCAGATTCATAATTAACCTCTGGGTTTCAAGGGGCCCGACGAATTCACCCTTTCCAACCGCGAACAATCCGTTCAGCAAGGGCTCCTGGCCAATGTGGTAGAGGTTCTCCACCGGCCAGACTTCGCAGATGCCACGGTCCACCAGGCCTCTGCTCAACACACCCCAGTCGTCCCCGACCATAACCTTGGGAGGCTTCGTATGAACCATTGCGTCTTCAGGAACCAGAAAGTCCTCCAAGTGGCGAATGTAATGAAGGGTGCCCTCGGTGCAAAAGTCCAAAAGGTCCAATTGTCCCACCTGCTCTGGAAGTGAGTTTCGAACGGCCTCCCAACACAACGTTTGAGCCAACCGGACCTCCTCACCTGCATAAGTAACCCCTCTCTTCTTGAAGAACGAGTCAAAGTCAATCGGGTCCAAACACATGTCCCACACATCGAATCGCTCGCGCAAACTACCCAAATTTTCCACCAGACCCTCCGGGTATCGAGCGGGCACCGGTCCGTGCCCTCGACCTATGGCCAGATGGTTGAGACCAAAAATCATCTGCTCACACGCCTCTCCAGACTTCTCGCTACGGCACGGGGGCAAAGGAAGGGGAAAGATGCATTCGTTTGTGGGAATGAAGTCTTCCGTTGCCGTGGTCTGCATGCGCTCATCTTCAAGCTGTTCGAGTAAAACCCGAGCCGCAATCATTGCCTGGAGCATGTTGCTTGGTGAAACCTGGCTGCTACGGGCCTCTGACTCACGTCTTGCTTCGGGAGAGTTCAAGTCGGCTTGCTTTTCTCCCACCGCTGTATGAGACACCGGAACCCCCTTGTCGTCTGCCTCCTGGGCGGAGCTCCCTGCAGCCTCTTTGTCAATGTACTTTGACACCTTCTCTGCTTCACTTTTGCCCCCCTCAAGCCGGGGGGACTTACAATGCACAAATTCCTTCAACAAAGGTCGGCCTCTGCTGTCCACTTCACCGGAGGGGAGACTTCTGCCACAAAGCCTTCCCTCCATCCTCTGCTCCTCAACTCCTTTCACACCATCTTTTCCATCCGTCTCGTCACAAGCAACCATCACTTCTCCTTGTCCTCCTCTCTCTTCCCTTTTCCTTTTCCTCTGTCCCGGTCGCCTTTGCTCTTGCCTTCGCCTTTTCCTTTGTCTCTCCTGCCCTTGTCCTTGTCTTTGCCCTTTCCTCCTTTGTGCCACTCTCTGTCGCCCTGCCACTCCCACGCTCGTCCTCGGGAGTTTCGATACTGTATCCTCTCTTCTTGCAACACCTCCTTGCCCGCTTCCGATGCTTCGTTCGTTGAGACCAGGGTGACCTTTTCCGGTCCAACCAGCTCCAACCGGCGGGCGATATCCGCCTGGACTCCTTTGGCGATCTGCTCGAGGGATTTGATCCTCTGGGATGCAACGTCCAAAGCGGCCGCTGGGCGGCCTCGCAACATGAGGTCTATGACCAGGCACCAATGCTGCATCTCGCGCCCCATCACAGGCCCCACCTGTCCTTGAAGATGTTGCCTGTAATATTGAGTGGCCACTGGTGGTAAGCCCCCTTCGCTGCTGGCTGAAAGGAAGCCTTCCGCGGTCATCAAGCTCTGCCGCATATCCTGAAGGACCCCGCAAGACAGAGCCCCTGGAATCCTCTTCCAGATCTGCAACGCCCTGCGCTCTGCCTCGAACAACTCGCTCGAGCCGATCATCTCGTCTGCCAAGCTGGAGGTCGAACTCGTGCTGTCGCTGTCCGGCTCGTCCTTCTCCCGACTGCGTGAACGGCTTCCCGTCTTCTTCTTCTTTCCTCTTCTGATCTTCCGTGCTTTTCTCATCAAAGCCTTTCTCACCTGGGGGTCGGGATCCACTCCCGTGCGATTGAACAGGTCCTTCACGGGCATCTCCAGGCAGGCTTTGACCTTTGTCTTCTCTTTTTTCTTCACCTTCTTCTTCGCCTTCACCTTGTCCTTGTCTCCCTCGCCTACGGGAGCTCCCCCGCCTTCGGGAGAATAGTCCTCCATGTTCACGCCATCGACCACCTTCTTCATCTCTGTACGTAGTTTGGCCAGCTGATCCACCGCCTCTGGCTCTTCGCCTATTGCGAGACCTCGACCTCGAGCATCTTCGAGGTTTGTCCACCAACCTTCGGCGGGCTCCATCTGCCGCCTCACCCGGTCTCCATGGATCAGCTGGTTGTTCCACACTTGGGCTTCGCAAGGACGTCCACAAAGATGTAGTTCCAACTCCTTGCAACGCCCTCCAACTGCTTTTAGAAGGCTCTCGGTCTGGGTTCCTGTAACCCACAGGCTCAACTTTCGGTCGCCTCCGCGGAAGTTCAGCCCGTTCACGACTCCTGCCACAATGCAAGGCGCCTCCCAATACCGACCTTCTACCACCACTTTGTCCAAGCTTCCGATCTCCTCCATGGTGAGTTCCGGGATGGGCCTCCACATCCCTCCTTCTTCTGCCTCTGGAATCTCCTCCTCTCTTGATGCAGGCCTCCTTAACGCGGACTCTCGGTGACCTCGCCGACGATCTGAGCCAGGAAGCCGGCCTCCGGGTCGTCTCAACACCTTTGGAGTCATCACCTCCTCCCGTGCTCTCGATCGTACTCGTTCCACAGCCGGTAATTGAGGTTCTTCTCACGCTTTGTCTTGCCCTTGGACTCAGTCGGCTGGTTGCCTCGATTCCGCACTGGCCAGTACCTGTACCCCTTGGACTTTGGGAAAGCTCGGTACGCTGACCAGTCCTCGTCGTCTTGATGTCCCGGCGGTGGATGATCTGGCTCCTGAGGCTTTCTCCTAGGCAGGACTTTGTCTCTGTCCTTCCTCTCTCCCTCTGTCTCACCTCGGGAGGGCTGTCTCGAAGTTCGAGGTGGTGCTGCACGCCTCGCTGCAGGGTCGAAGTAAGAAGGCCTCGGTGGGGTCTTTGGTCGGGCTTCCTTTGAGGGCTCGGCGGATGCCTTAGCTGTACCTTGGTGTTCAGGACGAGGGGCAGGCGAGCGAGACTTTCTAGGGCTCTTCTTTGTCCTGACGTTGCTTCGGGAGTGTCTGCTCCTCCCTCGGCTAGCACTTCTATCCTTTCTCTTTGACTTCTTCTCTGTAGAGCGTTGGCGGCGATGTCGGGACCTGGATCTTTTGCTTGCTTCTTTCTTCGGACTCTTCGATGGTGTGCTCACGGGAGTATCTTTCTCTCCTCCCCCTTGCGACCCACTGGCGGCTGAGACGGGTTCTTCCTCCTCACTTTTCACTGATGGCGCTTCCCGTTTTTTCTTTCCTCCGGAGGGTGTGGCAGACCCCTTCGAAGTTCCTTCCGACTTGAAAGCCGGGGTAGAGTATGTGGCACGTCCGACCCCGTCCTTCGACTTCGACTCGGCCTCGTCGAGGAGTTCAAGGTAAACCTCGCGCAGCTTTCTCACACAGTGCCGTGAGAATGTGTCTCCTAGCTTCTCGTTATACACAAGCAGCAGGAGGCGCTGGGAGGTCAAACACAACTGGCAACGGCAGGTCGCCCAGTTGTGGATTTCCCCCATCAGCTGAAGCCGAGAAACTGCGGAAAGCGAGTACGATTTTCGTCTTTAATTACGAGAACGAAAGTCATTGATATATATATAATACAATATGTATACACTCTGGGCTAATAAAGAAGCAATTGTGAGTCCTTATTTTACCTGACCTCGCAGTCTGGGGGTGAGCCAACGTGGCAGTCAGTATATATCCAGCTCAAAACGTCAAGAATTCATAGGATTTGGGTAGGCGAAAGCGAATTGCCACGAGTTGGATCAATCCGTTCTCGAAGACCAAATTGCTCAAATTCAGCAACTGCCCCGTTATACTCGAATCTAGTGGATAAACACCTGACACGGCAACTGACATGTGTGTGTGTTCACTGCTCACTTATCGGACCTTTTTTCCTTTACCAAACGGTCATGCAAGTTTGTTCGTTCAGAACTTGCAATCAGGCTCTGACTGCAATTTGGTCACGTGATCACAGCCATCACCCGTTTCTGTGAAATAAAACTGTGGAAAAGCACGTCGGACAGGGCACATCATGACAGCATGAGACACATCATGACCATGCTGATCTGCAGGGCTCAGTCCTCCAATCGAAACGCAATGCCCTTTCTTTGAGCAACTGAGGCTGGCTGACCGGCACCTGACCGTGTGTCGAAATGCTTCTCTGAGCCCATCGGATGCGCGAATCAGATTCCGGCTACCACTCATCAAACGAATGGAAGCTGGATCAGTATGTATAGGCAGATTCTTCACCCAAACAAATGAGCCCCAGGGTTTCCAATGCATCATGTGGACCCGATGTTAAGGAACGCCTGCCGAAACCTGCATGTGAAGTGAAGCTCTCATGACCTGCAAGCAACGGGCCAGCCTCCAATCTCCTAGAAGCTCTTCATGGAACAAGTTGCTTGATGGTGCTCTCAGTTGTGTGAGCCTTGATGGTGCTCTAAGTCCAAACACTCCCAACCAGCCACCGGAGATCCGCAGAAGCGGATCGCTCATGGCTATCGGCAGGACCCCCACATAGTATCACCAAGTGACAAACTCACCACCCGAACATCCCTAAACCCAAGTCGTCGGACTCCCACACCAAGATGACTAGCTGCCTAGCTTATGTGTTGTTTTCTATTTTTTATGGCTATGTGCTGCCATGTGCTGCCCACCCAGAAGCAACCTCCCCTTCAAGCCAAAGCACCTGGTGCCATCTCGATCAGGGAGGCCTGCCAAAACTGCGACATGCTGGAGGCACTGGGCTGTTGGGGGCCTCCTGGTGCCCCTCTGACTCTCTCAACAAGCTTCCCCGGCCCGAAACAGAAAGCACTAAGAGATATCCTCCGGGTGTCCCTTTTTGGTGAGGTGACGGCCTCGAAGGGACCATGAGATCCTTTAGACCAAACAGGTGGTGAACTCACTCCACCTGGTCTGTAGCCACTCTTTGAGATCCGTTCTTCGTTCTTGCCCCACACGAAACAAAAGGAACATGCGAACACAAAGCAGGGAACTTACACTCCTACAAACATAGAAAAGGAACATTGCCACTGGGAAGGCTGTTTACCTCGGGGTCTAAGGGGTACGAATACATTGGGTTTCAGAGTAGATGGCACTGGGCACAATCCACAAGTTGGGTGGCTTATATGGACCTCCATCTAAAAGACATTTTGGGGGTTGTGCAATCTACTCTGAAGCCACAGCATCTACCACCTCAGCAAACTTCAATAACATCTTGCAAGACTTCTCCATTTGTGACACTCCTCCTGAAACACCCTTTGCCTGGGTGTTCTGCTGTTTGACCGCGGTCTGCTTGACCAACTCACCCAAACATCGAGGCTGTTACCAAGGGAAAAGCGCAGATCTGTCAAATGTCCTTGCAACCCTTCCGGACATTTAGGCCGAACCCGTGGATGTGCCATCTGCCTCGTGAGCCTGCAGATTCTGCTGCCGGGCCACCTCCTCAGAACAGTGGCACTCCACTCAGTTTGGAAGCGAGTTCGAAGGAGACCCCCAAGTGATGCGCGATGTTGTTATGCCAAAGGGGTAATGTCGAAAGTGTGACAACAAAGGACACCCAGTTTGGATTTTAGTGGGGGACCTTTTTCTACTCAAATTAGCTTTGTTGGATCCGAGGTGGAGTTGTGCCTTCTCATTTCCTTATCTAAATAAGTAGGGCACCATCAGCCATCAGCTAAAGTAACAGTTGATCTGCAAAGAAATAAGTATGCCCCAAATGTACAAACAAGAAGGGTAAACAAATAGATTATATAAATATATAGACACTGATTCACATAGGAGTTACAAAACAGCATGCCCTCTTGTTACAACATCTAAGGTAGCAGCGGTCTATACCTGTCCCAAAAATCAAACATCAATGAATGTGTCCAAGTGACAAACCGAATCTTCTGTCATGTGGCACTGGTTGCGCAGGAGTTTTATGAAGGCGTCCCTTCTTAACTGATGTGGGAGCGCATCGAACTTAAATGTGTTGCCTGATGTTGATATGACATACTATATAATATATATACACATGGGAGGGTTAAGTCCTATCTCATGTGCATGACACGTTGTTTCTGCTTCAATTTTTCAGGTTACACATGACTGGGGAGTTAACCAGGGATAACTCTCACAACACTAGGATAGTCACTACAGTAGCAGCACCAAAAATGGAAGCAGTTCAACTTTCCGGAAAAATAGTCTCCAGAATTTTGGCGGAAGACTAGCGGCTAGTGGTCAAAGTGTGATGGCCTTTCAGTTCTTTCCCAATAAGTCGATGGCACTGGCATGGGTCTGTTTTGGCCTTCATGGCGGCCCAGCCCCGCCTGCTCCGGCGGTCTGCGAGAGGAGACGGAACACCGCCCTCCCCACGAGGGAACCGAACCGCCCTCCGAGCCGCTGTGTAGAAAAGGAACATCAAGGCCAAGAGAAAGAGCCACCTCAAAGCTGAGTTTTCTCAACCAATGATCCAAAAAGAACTCCGGTAGACATGGATGGGTCATGAGATGTCATTTTCGTCATGTTTGCGCTCGAGGATGTTCCAGATTCATCCACACTCTATCTACTAGCCAGCTTGTAGTTCCAAGCGTTCTCATCCACGGTCTATCTTCCACTCAGAGTCTCAATGATGACTATCCAAGCTGGAGTACAGCCTGGCCCCACAAATGTTATCATTGATCGTGACCTATTGCGACAAACCTCTGTTCAACAGACTTGTCTCTCAACCAGTCTCAACCAATCGTTCGAACCACAATGAACATCAATGAACCACATCTACCCCCTCACACAAATGAACTGTGCTTACACGCTGACCCACACCTGTGGGTCACAAAAACGTGAGGGTCTTCCCAATGCCCAAACAACCACTGTTGCGGAGACCTGTGAGAGACGAAGCTAGCGGGGCGTTGGTTGGCGCTTTGTATTTGGCGCACAACAATCCACCGTGAACTCCTTGCTCCCGAGGCACAGATGGCCCAAGGCCAAGCATCCCTGTGCCTGGGAGTGTTGGAAGATTCTAAAATGGACGCTGTAAAGAAAGGGTCGTTGGCCTGGTGAAGAATGGAAGCACCTAAAACCCGAGCCTCAAAGACTTATCGGCTAAAAGAATCTAAAAAGGGCTGGTCTTTGATCAGTCTCTGCAAGTTCGTAGGGTTTCGTGGCTGCTGAGCAAAGGCATTCAGTCAGCTAGTGGCTTGGATTCTCAGGTGGTACAGTGGTACAGAATACCTTCCATGTGTTGAGCCCAACCCGGTTCCACGTGCTTCCACGTGCAACTGGGCCGCACGGATGTGCAAAGTCAGAGTGTCGTGCGACCCTCCGAGCTACTTCAATGTCACGTGCCCTACCTTGAGTTCTTTTGCTTCCTGAAAGCCCCGGGGTCCTAAGAATCCAAAGGGCAAGCTTGGTTCTGAAGAGTCTTGAACACGTGAATGGGCGGGCCAGGAGCGCCTGCCCACAGGGTGAAGGAAGCGCCCGAAGCATAAGGCAGGACCACAGAAAACTCTCCTTATGCTGGTCCTGCCGACCACTTCCTCAAACCGACACGTTGGCCGTGATGCGATGGTGACACCCTTCTCCTCTTCAGCAGTAAAGCTCACCTGAAGCCACGGTGATTGGGTGACGGGATAAGTAAACCCAAAACTCCTCTAGTCAAATTCTACATGGAAGCGGTGTTCACCCTCTGGAAACACGGCCAGCGCCAGGTTTTCCACAGCAATATGGTAAAATCCGCATGTTTGTTCTAGGCTATATGAGCCAGCAAATAGACTGCTGGGTGCTGGGTCCTGCAACTGCATGGGCCCTTCCGGCAGGTCATCTGGCTGAGTACTCGAACGGCTTTAGCCGCACTGTGTGGTCGTCCCCTACTTCAATGCTCGTCGGCGGTCTTCTCGCATGTTCTTGCCCAGTGGCGCCACTCATGAAGAGGAAGCAGTTGGCAAAGAAAAGGGACACAACCAAACAACCTCGCAAACGTGTCTGCCCCGCGGTGTCCCCATGGTCTGCCCGCTCTGGATCAGTCGATCGTTTCGAATTAGCTTGGTATCCCGGAAGGATGATGCACGCCTCCACTCCACAAAAAGGCCACCCTGGAGCCTAAAAATATCGAACACAATGTTCTCACAATTCGCAGTTCGCATGACTCGAAGGCAAGGTAGGGTGCACGACTGCACGACGCATCACAGTGCTATGGTCAACCATACAACCAGGCATGAGTCATTGAGATTGGACTCTTGATACTTCGGCATTCTGTTGGGGAACCCCGTCTCCACCCTAATGTCTGAATCCTCAAATCCTATAGCCACTACGCCTCACTACACCAACCCTTGCACAAAAACGTTCAAAACCAACGGTCTCCCATCATTTCTCCTCCTCCCACATCTCCAGAGGACCGAGTGGCACACCGCGTTGAAGCCGCGGCGTTGATACGCCAGGCTGGGCGCCGAGAAGAGGAAGCCGGCGAACAGGCAAATGGGCACCTCAGCTGGTCTCTCCAGTGCTGGTCCAGTGTCTGGGTCCTGTGACCAGCCAGTTGCGCTGGGGATTTTCATCCGATGCGGTTCATATCGACCGGTTGCCACTGTTGGGGGCCCCGTCCAGTGCCAAGAACAGATCCCTGGAGTCTGGGACTCAGTTTGGCCAAACAAGACACTTGGACACCAAGATCATCCAAACACCGAATTTTCACCAAGCTCTGAGCCAATCACCGCCGAGGCACATAAATGATCCAAGAAGCTGCGACAATGCCCTCCTTGGTTCACCGGGTTGCAGACCATCTCGAGCAACGGCAATGGCTTGGCTCTGTGGTCAAGCTATCGAGTGCATGATTTCCAACCAAGACTGTACTGTGGTTCAGGGGTTCCTCTGGAAAAGCCAGGCTCTGAAGACCATCTCTGCTCTACAAGCCAGGTAACTTTGGTGCGCTTGTGAGGGCCACTTCGGGGGGCCACCTTGAATTCACCCTGGGAGAGGGCAGCCAACGGCCGGTGTCGCCTTTAGTACTCCCGGTAGCTGCTCAGCTCTGGCTCGTTCAAGGACCCCCCTCGCTCCCTGGCTTCCAGACCTGATCCGTCAAAGGAAGAGGAGGGCGAAGCGATCGCGCCACCAGCATCTACCATCTTCTGCCCAAGCGTCAAGGATGAAGACCATGAGCGCGCCAAGGCCAACCAAAACAAACCTCCACATTCGCAGTCCTTGGCACACCCCCGAATCACAGGGGGCAAGCAAACACTAGGGAGGACCAATTGAATGAGTTCAAGGCAGGGAAGCCGCTGGAATTCAATCTCCCAGTGGTCATACTACCCCGACAAACCTTGACCTTCCACAACTTCGAACCACCAAAAATCCGGCTTTGCTTCTGTGAAATAACCCTCGTGGCGCAGGAATGCAACGGCAGCACGCTTCCCCCCCAACTCAAATCTGATTCTCACAACAAACAGAACCACTCCAAGTCGAAAAAGGCAAACCATTCCGGCCAGTTCAGTTCCTGCACGATACGGAAAATGCCTTTCAAATGGAAACCAATTAATTCCCACTAATAAGCATACAACCCAGGTAGTGCCGGTGTTTTCTGGTCTTCCGCCCAGTCCTGGGGCTCCGGCGATGAGGTGTGGCCACCTGCAGCGGCCCCGCGGTGACAGCCGGTCACTAACGGGCATCACTGGGTGGAAGCAGGTCATCGATTCCACACTGTGGGTACCAGATCCATGATGATTCTCATGTGCTGTTCCAACATGTTCCAACTAAAGGGTGAACTGATGTGGGTCACCATATGTCACCATGTAACACTGTACTGTATCCCCATTTGGTGGCTCTTGTGAAGAGTCCCGAGATCGCCCCAAGCACCACACACTGGCGATGGTGTAGAGCAGCACGGAGCTCTTGGCCAAAGCGACCGCGGGCATCAACAGCCAGGCCAACAGCCTTTAAGTGCGGAAAGCGATGTTGGGTCATGGAACTACTTGTGTGACGTCTGATGGTAACGATGAACATGGAACTACTTGGGTGAACTTGAGGCCCAAGGGGGTGAACGAAAGCTAGCGAACGCCGCGAACGCTGCCCGCGAAGCTGCGAGCACGCGGTAGCTGAGGCTAGCTTTCGTGATATGCCAATTGAAAGACATATAAAGAAATGGGACATGGCTTTGACTCAGAACACTCTGAGGGTCCAACCTTCGGTAGCTTGACGGCCCAGGGCCAGCCGAACAGGTAGTGGAAGGGGGCCCAGGGTTGGTCTCCAACAATGGGCCAGCTGAACAGCTCAGGCACTCCAGTGAAACCAACTGTTTGGAACTCCGATGGTGCTGAGACAGCCCAAGAAGGCTCATGAGTACTCAAGTCTTCAAGTCTTCTAGTGCAGCTGGGCAACAAAGTGATGCACAGGAGGACCAAGCAAGGAGCTGTCATGCCTCCAAGGTGTGTGTCCCAGGCGGGGGGCAATCATATAACTTAATCACTAACGTAATCGCAATAACATCCAAAATCACCCAAAAGCATTGAGCCGCACAGGTCCCAGTTTGATTTGATGGATTCTGATGGGTCAGGCGTTCATAGGCGTTCACTCTTCTTTCCGCCCCCTTCAGCTCCGCTGAAAAATAGCAACAGCAAACTACCAAAAAAAAAAACAATATATCTATAGACCTTTTGCCATTGCCAATCAATTGAGGTGGAGGGCCCATTCACCAAAGAAGGCGTTCCAAGGCCCACGCAGGCCCACGCGCCGCGCTCCACCCCCCACCTTGAAGGGACTTGAAGGCGGTCTGCTCGTGCACAGGCCGTCGGAAGGTGAGGCGCAAAATCAACTCAAAGAGGATAGGGATGGTACAGGCGATCGAAAGGCCCAAAGTGTACCTGTGCGAGTTACAGAATGGCTGTCAGGCATGCGGTGGGGCCGCTTGGCCGTGCTTGAAAACAATGGACCCTAATTAAGCTTTAAGGGTTGCTACAATCTTACAGTGGCTGCTCAATCTTACAGACGTAAGTGGCGCTTGTGCACTGAGGCAAAATCGAAGACACATGAAGGTTCTTTCTGGGAGGTGGTTTGCCAAAAAGACCCCCTCTGTCTATTGAAAACCTCTGGACTTGGCCTCGGCCAAGAGGTATTCCAAACCCACACAATGCCAAATCCCAGATACATCCTGATCAAGACTCTCAAATTCTAAGAATTTGTTTGGGATTGGCCATGCCACAGGCTTTGGGAATCTTTTGGGACTTGGGGCCAAGTCAAGGTTCCTATTTGGAGGACCTTGTCATCGCATATCCGATGCCAAGAGTCCAATCCACCGAGCTGGCTCCTGGTTCGGCGTCATGTGGGGCACGTCAAACCAACCAAGGTGAAGTGACTAAGTCTGGTTATAGTGAGAGTCTTGACCATGTGGCCCAAACCACGAAGTGTCTCAACCATGTGTCAGGTGACTTGCCAAAGCATGTTTGGTCAAGTCTGACTGGGCCAAGTCAAGGCGTCGGGCATAGGATATGCTTTTGGACATGGGGCAGCGTCTCCGGTTCCAAGAACCGGTGCGAAATGAGCAACCAAAAGCAACATGAAATGACCTGAAAGAAATGGTTTAGGGTTGTCACGAGAAAAAACAACAACATGAGCTGAACAATAGCAACCCAAACTTCTTCCGTGAACAAACGAAGGGAATCATGGACATGAACCTAGTGGAACCATGGCTCTCCCATCAATGATGATGTCCCTTTGCTGATTATAGAGGGGTTGATTTGGCATATACCATATACCTCTCCGTTGTACACTTGGGGCTATCCATCAATGAACCAACCCAATGCAACCCAATAGTAGAAGCACACTCCGACGCCTTTGGTCGAAAAGAACAATTCTCGTCCTGCGCGTCGACAAGAACAATTCTCGTCCTGCGCGGCAGCGGTTCCACCAGCTGCAGGGTCGAGGCTCGAAAGACGCTTCAGGGCACCAGTGGTCTGGCCGCGAGGCGAGCGCCGCGAGGACGCACAGATTTGGAACGAGGATGGAACGAGTGCCAAAACAGGAATCGATCTCCTGGTCCACAAGCAAAACATAGACTATGAGGGAGGTCGGTCAACCTATACCAAGGTTTGGGGCTGGACCTCCAAAACAGGAATGAGATGGAGGCGAGCCTCACCCATGTCCTGCGACGGTTTTGGGGCTAGCTCGCGCGTGGTCGTGTTACTGAGTCACCACCTCTTTGCGGTGCAACATGGAGTACTACAGAAAGGGGGTTGCAACAGTGCAAGCAGGAAGGGGGCAACCATCAAAAGAGAGTTGAGCCACTGACAAGTGCCAAAGAGCTACGGACATTGATGGGGCTCCATGGAGCTTCCATGGTTCCGAAGTCCAATGGTCCACGTGTCATTGAAAAGAATCTACCAGGACCAAAACGATGAAAGGATATATCATGATATATCTGATCGGGTGTCGGAGATCGACTTACAAGACCTCTTCAGCTGGAATTTCCAGCCTGAAAAAGGCGGTGAAGGATGTGTTTTTTTCATCAAAGTATGCCACCACTATATTGATTTGCATATCTCCTGCAGAATCTTCCAATAATTAACCTCGGCATTATATTTCTTTGTGTTTTTGTCTGTGAAAGGAATCAAATTTTTAAATGGATTGATATTGAGAAGGAATCTGAGGCCGCACATGCAAAGGGCACACAGAGTTTGGATGTTTCTTCTTTCAGCCTAAGCTGGAAGATTTCACACGAATCAAACATTGCATTTTTGTGGGTTTCCAGGCAAGTTTTCAAACCCAATAAATGCATGTGGCAAGAGATGATTCTGTGACGGTGTTTTGGACCTCCAATATCTTCTTGCCCTGCAAAGTCTCCTTATATATTTACAGTACATGGTCGGTCTGAATTAATGGTCACGGTGCAGGATTTGGTATTTATAAATTCTTTAAGTTCGGTCCGATTCAGATTGTGATGCAGTTTTTCAGCCCGAACAAGCGGAAGATTCACCTGCAAGTCCAAACTCTGTTATACAATGTTATACATGCGTCAGCTGGTACACCGAAGGAGCGGAAAGAAGTCAGCCAACATACCCAGCCCTTGACAGCCGGAAAAAGATCTGCTCCATAAAAATGGCACATGCCCGATTTTGAGGTCCCAAAACCTATTGGACCTCCTCTAAAGGTGTGTGTCACATGAACTCATACATCTTTGCACTCCGAGTCAGTTAACATGGAAGTGGATGGCGCCCCTGTTCGTACGGAAAGTAGTCTTTTTTCCAAGCCATGCCATGCACTTCCATGTGATGTGTTTGTCAGAGCATGTCAGAGCGTACCTCAGGCACATGAAGCAGTATTGTACATGAACTACGAGTTTTATGCCCACCTGGGGCATATCTTCAGGAACTCTCTGGACCCTTTTGGGGCAAGTCAAGGATGCACTGTCGAGCTACGAGTGACCCGGCTTTTTCTCCGGTGGGTCCCGCGGATCCCCTTCACCGCCGGGCTGACATCATGACTCAGCTCGGATGGCATGGCCCCCCAAAGCGTGTGATCCGTTTCCGAAGACATCAGACCAAACAGGTGGTTGGTTTACCCCCACGTAAAACCCAAATGATGTCGGGGGAAGTGATGTGATGTCAGGCGGGGTGATGCATGGGCCTTCAGTTTTGGTCAAAAAAGGGCCCTTTGACCCATGCAACCTACTTCACTTGCTTCAGGCGATTCAGCGGCACCCCCGTCTCACGAGCAAGCTTCGCATACCTGAGCCGTGCAGCGAACGAAGTTCAGCATAAACATCTACAAATATATATATATATATACAGTATATAACTGTGCGTAACTCTGTGAATACACTGTGCAAAGCTAAAGGCAAATTCCCTTTTTTGGGGTGCTTGGGGCTTCTATACTACCGAGGCTATTGGAAACCAGCGATACAACCTGAGATGGATTCTGTCTTGAACTCTTTGACCCGAGCAGGTGAGTTGTAAATCTGCATTTGCCCCGGCCAAGCACAAATTTGTGCTTGGGTGGTTCATGCAGGCAGTATCACTTGGCCCTGCCATCCGTTCCCCTCCGTTCCGCATCCACTCCAAGCCGCTCTTCATCCAAATCAGGAGCTACCACCAGTTGGTCTTCTCTTCTTTCCCTCTCTGGCAGCTCTCCTAAACCTCAACTGGACTGATCACTTGGGAGAAGTTGCAGACTCCGTCGGTTCAGGTGTGTGGGCTATGGAAGGTGGTGAATTGAGGCATTTGCCAGGCCAAGTCTAGAGTCTTCTCCTCCCCAACACCTCTTGGTACAATAGTCCTGGCAGGATCGGAAGAGAAAAACATGAGAAAAGCGAAGGTTCAAACCGTTCTGTTTGATTGAGAGGTCGGGGGTTATACGGTTCTATGGCTGTGGGTCAAAACCAGGAGACCTTGGTTGACGTACCCGGAAGGTTGAGCCAGGGCTCGAGGTCTTTTTACCCACAGCTACAAAAATACTATATGTATAATGTGTGTATTTTATATAGTTAATTATAATTATGTAAATATCCAGCACCTTGCTGTGCCTAAAGAACTGAGAACATTACACATCCCCATAGTGTAGAGAAGAAACAAACAAACATAAACAAACTATCCCTGAGCAAAGCCAGGTATAGGTGAAGTGAGGCTTTTTTCAGAGACCTTCACCATCCCACATGGCGTCGTCTCAAAACGAGGGGTCCGCCAAGCTCCTTTGCTTGCCTTCATCAGGACGTTCGACAGTCGTTTTTTCTCATTCGATGCACGCCCAAATTCCATGCGGGAGTACCAGCCCAGCCCCGCTGACCTGTACACATCTTGGAGAAGGTCTCTGAGGAATCTCGGTCTTGTCGCCTTAGCTCCTCACAAAGGGAGAAGGCGCTTGAGATGAACGGAGATGAACGGACGGTACGGGTGGCCAATGATCCAATCAACCTACGTATCCTACAGCGTGAAATGCCTGGAAATTGGCTGGCTGGCCATTTTTCCACAAGTTGTGGAAGGTCCACAATACAAATACCCATCGAATACATGGATTCAACTGGCCTGTGCAGCTTTCCTCTACTGTACCATTGGCCATGACTCTTATCTTTGCAACCACAATTCAGAACGCTGAGTTACATGGGAATGATTTCTATTACTCAGTGGATGTCTTACACCAATTCGCGACTCTTTCTTCCGTCCCTTTAAGGGCCACTGTGACTTGCAACTCTTCATGGACCAAGTCTCTGGCATATCAAACATCCTCCACATTCCTCGCCCCCAAGTGTCCCCACGCCACTTGACCTCGCCCCATATCCAAGAGAACACGACAAACCTCGTCACGTCAAACGTGGCGATCCTTCCAACGTTAACCCTCCCCAACGGACCAGGGTCCGTCGGCCCGGTCCTCCTTCACCTCCCTCAGTAGCTTCTGTGCCGCCAGGTTCTTCGGCTCCAAATCCCTCAGCCTCTTGACGTCCTCTAAGGCGGCCTGAAGGTCGGGCCACAAGAATGAACAGCGTTCGTTTCTCGGAGATTCATCGAGAGTCCTGGGCTTGTATAAATTTTTGATCGTTTCTGGATCTTCCAACCTTTCGAGATGTGCAAATGATCAGACAAAATGATCAGACACATTCATCAACTAGTTGCCACAAGTAGTTTCTTGGAAGACGCACTTGCAACTGTACCACTTGCGATGAAAAACCACCCAGTTGGACATCGTGCCTGGTGCTCCTTCAAAGCTGTAAGGGCTTTGGCACGTCGGAAAAGAGCCTTTGGTTGCTCTGGTTCCTCACATTCATGGAGCTCTGTAGGAGTTGGGATGATTTCCCCAACACAAATTCCAGACACACTGTGGTTCCCTTGGCGCTGGGTCTGTCAATCTAAGGACTGCTACTGGGTGGGCCAATTGGGCCAATACTTCAATCCCAACAAAACTACTGCATTGGATTGCGTTGGTATCTTTGGTCCAGGCTTGGGACAGCACTCAGGGGTTTGGGACGGTTTTGGTCTATTTGCGGTTCCCTTTTGGACATGTTGTCCATTGTTGTCCGGTGTCACTTGTTGGTGGTACAACGCCCCTCCCAGTCAGCTCTCCTCTTTCAGGACCATGTCGCATAAGTCCTGATGGGAATCATCAACGCACTCTGACATGCTCACGGTTTAGTATTGACCCTGGCCGCCTGAAAGAAACACCCCAAACAAACTGGTCATATATACAGTATATATATATATATATATATGTGTGTACACACACATAGATTTTGAACATAATATATAATATATATATATACAGGGACGTATATACATATAAATGCAGTATATTAATATGTGTGCAAATTCATTCTGGAGGAAGCCTGTGCTGGCAACATGTTTCACACCGTGCGCAAACTAACAACCAATGAAAGTTTCAATCCCGATATATGGCGATTCTAGGGAAAACATGCCGCTTGCCACTCTGATTGAATTCAATCCATAAAAGTCGTATGCAGGCATCATCCGGGATATGTCCAAAGCATTGAAAGACCTCCCCGGCGACCTCCCCATAGCAAAAAGGGAGATGCTGCCTGTGTGCAAGTTCGGTGCCCCCAAACGACATGGGGAGGTACCAGTTTCTGTGAAGAGGAGTCTGACGAGCAACGATGACCTTTTCTCCGCTTACAGCGGTGGAGTAGCCGAGCGAGGCAGAGCGCCATAGCAGCCCTGAAGCAAGACATTGGTCATTCAAAACATCTTACCAGGTCTTACCAGTCACCCCAAGGGGCTGGACCGGTGTATCTTGCATACACTAAACTATTTGGCTCAATCTCATTTTGTTCGAACGTTTTCTTCAAATCCACCTTCTTTCCACCCTTCAAGGTGAACTCGACCTCCTTGCCATCCCGAAGGCGTTCACGAAAACTTGCATGAAGCTCATAGGTTGAGTTGGCCCCAAAGTCATCCATCTCAAAGCGATACGGGTATTCTTGCCCTAGTAGCAAGCAGGTCACATAGGCCTCTTTTGCATTGCGACCGACCCGAGGCTTTTTCTTGGGGTCTTCTCCCCGCAGTTCTGCGTTCTCCTTCTTGAGCTTGGCAATTTCGCGCTCCAACGATGCGATAGAGGCAGCAGGGCGCTTTTTGGACATGTTCTTAAAATGCCGCTAACTGCAACCCTATACTTGCTTCAAGAGACTTGAGCCAAACTTCTCAAGTTTATATAATAATTAGATTTCCGTTTGTTCACAGTTGCAGCATGCCATGGATTTCAGGCATGCTTGAAGGGGACATAAATCTTATCACAGGTTCAGCCAGCCATGATCGACCGCGAACGAAAACATCATTCCCCGAGCTGCCCTGTCATCAATCCTGAACCTTGACCACCAAGCTCTCTTGCAGCTTCTCTTCGCCTTCCTATTTTTGATTTTCCAGCTTATTTCACCTGTCGCTTTCTTCCACTTTCTTCAGCGATTTCGGTCCTTGGCTTTCTGCATCTCCTGCAGCTGCAGCATGCAGGCCGCTCGGTTCAGATGGGCCACCCTTCGAAGCTCCGTGGCTTCCCCCTGCTGCTCCTGAGAGCCACGTTGTGAGAGCCACGTCCGGGCGGAAACACCGGTGGCCGCCCGTGGGGCGAAACAGCTGTTTCCGCTGGGCGTTCAGTGCAGAGAATGGTATGTGGGGCCCCTGAAACACAAATGGAACTAGGAAGAGATCTCATTTTGGAATGGAACAGGATGTCACATGGTCAAGCCCAATGGTGAGGTTTCCCCTTCATGGCTGCAAGAAGATCTCTCCCATTCCCTCTTGCTGAAAGTATGAACCTCCAAGGCCTGAATTTCAATCTACCAGCATCTACCAGCTATTTCTTTTGAATTGAGATTATGCCAGTCCAGCTATCCGAGCTATGCTGAACATGTGTTTGCTTTTTTTCATGTGTATTTTGGAGGGGTGGGGTGGTGGGGAGCTGTATTGATTTTGATTCACTGGTGTTCACACAAAGGCCACGGTTTGGCAGCAGGTCCGTGGCATTAAATTGCAAATGAAGAAAATACCTGGCGCTAGCATCGCTGTGGCGCTGTTGGGCATAGTGGGGGGAGTACATAGGTCCCACTGAGAGTTCGGACTTCCGTGGAGTTCGTTGGATGCTCGAATCTGGGCGAATCCCGTCTGCGGGTTGACGTGAGGCGAACCATTCCCGTCCTTGAAGTCCTCAGGTCTCACAAAGAAGGAGGCCATTTCCTGGCAAGGCCCCCAGCCGAGTTGGGCTAGCCTCTTGGGCTTTTGGCCCGAAACAACGCGCAGGAAATGACATGTAACCTGAAGCCAACTTTTGGTTTTGGATGCCTCCCGTGCGCCGCCCCTCAATGGCCCACGCCTCGTAGTGCTTCGCTGCCAGGCGCATCCGCTTCTCTTGGAAGAGCCGTGAAGCATCAGACTTGCGTGCGACGGCGCGGTCCAGGCGCTCCTCGAAGGTCATGTCCCACTTCTGCGGGACCTGACTGCGGTTTTCGCGCGTTCTTTTTTCCCGAAGGTCACACGACAAGCGTCACGCGATGCTTCACGGACATTAGTCATTACTGTTTGCCCGAGTCGTCCCAACCACACGGCACTTCACGGCCAAAGTCACTATTCCAACCTGGGTATTTATAACAAACAAAGCCTCCTAGCCCCAAGCAAACAAACATGATCGCACGTGCCACTTTACCCGCACCGCCGTTTCGGGACTCGATGTCGGGTGCACGGACTCCAGGTATCAGGACGCACCGTGGGCTCACTGGAATTCTTATGCCCAGGCATGCGCCATGCGCATAAGCTGTGCCAGGGAAGATCTACGGTAGGTGTGAAAAATCGAAGGAAGTCTCCAGACCTGTCCGGCTCAAAACGGGATTTGGTGATATTTTGGGGCACTGGGCGATGCAGGCACACTGGATTTGGGGTGTGAACACGTCAACCTTGAAGTCAGTGATGATGCATATAGGATGATGTGGGGAAACAACAAATGTAGCACATCTGACAAATCACAGTTGACCACAACAGTATTGACCATTTGTGATCAGTTGGGATCCAACTGTTTTGGTAGCATGTCTGGGGAATCCAAAAGTTGACAGTTCAAGCTCCAAAGGATCCAACCAAACCGCACGACATGATCCCTTCACCGCAAACCATTATGTGTTGCTGCAAAGGTTTGGCCAACAGCAAAACAAAAGCAAGCGCCCTGACTCCCAGCTTGTGCGAGCTGCCTTCACGCATGCGAAGGTGTGGTATGAGTCCCACACTCAGAAAGTACAGGGGAAAGTTCTTGATAGTTCTTTGGGGCACCATCTGCCTTACCGGACTCCGCAGAAACTACTTCGTCTGCCCAGTGGCTTTCTGCACGGACAAGATCAGTAGGTGAAGCATGATAGGCGCTTCCAGGATTTCTGCCACAAGCCCCTGGTGCATGATTGGCTCCCAGAATTTGTGGAAGGGAAATAAACAATAAAACATCCTGCAGGAAACCCATGGGTTTTGAAGGTGAAAACCCTGGCTTCCAGCAGATTTCCATTCAATTCATTGTGTGGCTTTTCTTTGCTGCATCATCTGTTGTGTTACCCTGCAGTCACAGTTTGCTTCTGAAGACGCTGGCTAAGATAGCACTTGGGGCTCCTTGCACCTGAAGCCGCCACAAACGCCACAAACGCCCTCAATTCCCTCAATGCTTCGCCCGAGAGAAGAACGCCCGACCAGTTCGACGCTCGACCTGTTTCCTCATTCATCCTGAACCTTTTTTCAAAGGAAAGCCATCTCTATGAGTTGCAGCCTTCCTTGCCCCAGCTCTGTCTGCCCGCCTCGCAAGCTGCAGGGTCCAAGACTCGTAGCATTGCTTCTTCACCTGACGGCGCTTGCGGGGGCCAGTAGCTTGCGGTTCCACACGGGAAGATCTACCTCGAGCCTCTACGCGCTGCAGCCCTAGTAACTATAGATCCACTGCCACCCCCTGAGAAGGTAAGCAGGGAGACACGGTGAGTTCTTCAGGCTTGGAGGGTGCAGTCGTACCTTCTGAGAACACATTTGGATCCCTACGGCAGGGAAAAATGCAAGAGTCACACATGTGGTCTCCTCTGTTTTCTGCTTCGTTGCTGGGCCGATAAGTGCCCAGGGTCTGATGAGTCTGATGGATGTGATTCACTGGGGTTGATTGGTTGTCGCCTTTCCCTTCTACCAGCTTTTTATTTGGCTGGGGTGCCCTATGGTCATACACACACACTTATAACTTATAAAATCATATGACTAAAACTATTTGACTAGTTGATATTCAGGGGTATCCAGGGGATTATCTATTCCAATTGCACCCCCACATGCTGACAAAGGAACCGCGTGCATCAGTGTCACGGTTCATGAAACAAGTAGCCCGAAATGCAGAAACACACCAAGCAGCCCAGCGCATGCAAATATCTCCACAATGAGACCTTCCAGAAAAAGTCCTGTATCTATTGCTGTGTTTCATCTTTCTTCCTGCCTACCTGGAGGCTCTGCGGAACAGTTTCAAAAGAACGAAATCACATCTCAGCTCAAAACTGCTCCCTGCCCTGCCTTCCTTCATTCCCAGAACTGCTCCCTCCAAAGCATCACAAACCTGGCCCAGTGCCGCGGAAAGCCGCGGTGGAACCCGCTCCGTGCGACCGCTCCGAGATGGACCATCATCCTAAGAATTTGCAATATTTACTAAGAACTGTCTGGTCTGGTGTTTGCTTCTTCTAAACTAGCTCACCTAGGCGTTTTCAACTACTAACCTACTTGTCGTCGCAATGTTGACAGTTAAGTTTTTACCAGTCCACCGCCGACCTCCGTCTTTTCCCTCCGATCGAGATCGGCCCGGTCACCGCCCCGTTCCGCACCTCGCCATCGCCAGCACGAAAACTCAGCTCGACCGGTCCAGCCACCTGCGGGTGTTTCTCGGTGTTGGAAGGGCAGGTCGCACGGGCAGGGCTCAGTGGCCCAAAAGGCCGAGCGTTTATTCAATGATAGGTTTATAAAAATAACGCTGGTTGGAGAGAACAGAGTGAGCAGAACTCTGTGATTTTGCCTGAGCACAAGGGACCTGAACAAAACTCACTGTTGAGTCACAACCCACAAAAGCCTTCCACGTCTGAATCATGCCATAGTGTGGCCTTCGAATAGAACGAGGCCACAGGAACTGTCTGTCAGATGCCAAGCGACCAACCTTGCATTACTACTGTAGGGAACCCAAGACCATTTGCTCCTCGCCATCCTTTTCCCAAAGCAATGTTCCCAAAACGTTTTCCATGGTTTTCCCCATGCGAAGTTCAGCATGGCCCGTACTGACGACTTACTTCGCCTTCTCCCCATTGGATGTCACGGTGAGCACCCGCAGGCGTACTCGGCCCGTGTCATGCACACGATCTTCACCGTTGAGCTCCTTCAGCCTCTTCCGAAGGACGGTGCCATCCAACTTACCTGGCACAACAAGTCAAACGTCAAGCCGAAACGGTCCAACACGCATGTGGAATTGACTCCACGCCCACCCTAGAAGCATCCGGGGGGGGAATCGCACAGCCGAATACCTGTGATGGATGATGGATGTAAGCCACACCCGCAGAAAGGACATCACAAACATCCATGGCTTGGTGGCAAATTTCAATGCACCTGTGGGTCTATCGCACTTTCCACTCGCATTCCAGTTGTTGATGTTGTTGTTGATGACGATGTGTAGTCCAAGCCGTCGACACCCCCAAACAATAAAACTATATATATATATATAAACTAAACTGAACGGACCCAAAACAGGTTTCACTAATTGACTCTTAGTTCAATCATTGTGCTTTCCAAACACAGGATTCGAAGAAATGGAGTCCAAGTGGCCCAAACTCACGTCGTGTACCTGGTAGATCTCCTGCACACGACCCGAAGCAGTTCGGGTTCCTCGTGGGTCATCATGACTTTTTTGGGAAGGCCAACCAGTGAGTTGCGCAATAGCTGGGTCAATCTCCAGTTCGGATCCACATTCGTAGCATGGACGGAATGAACATGCCTGCAGGTCTGCCTAGGAAGTACATGGCCTACATGGCCCTAAGACAAGCCTATAAATCCTGCAGAAATTCCTCCTGCAAGTGACAATGACAAGGCGCCTCTTTTCTTGCGAATCTTGTGAGCTAGCTCACTATGTTGCCACACGAACATAGCTTCCCAACAAATAAAGAAACGATAAGAAACGCATCTTCAAGGACCCTCCAGGCAACTTCTGCTCCACTAGCATGATGTATCCCATTCCACTCCCTTCCAGCCTGCTTCCAACTCTACGATTAATGACCTGAGCCTCAAATACGAGTGGATGATGGCCGCTAATACTGCTACTGCTACTGCTGTTGCTACTGCTACTCCTACTCCTATTCGTGCCCCTACTCGTACTCCTGCTCCTCCACTCCTGCTCCTACCACTGCCGCACCGCTACGCTACCGCTACCGCTACCACTACCACTACTGCTCCGACGACGACGACGACGACTACTACTACTACTACTACTCCTACTCCTGCTCCTACTCCGACGACGACGACTACTACGACTACGACGACTACTACAACGACGACGACGACTACTACTACCACCACCTACACCTACTACTACTACTACTGCTGCTACTACTACTACTCCTCCTCCTCCTGCTGCTGCTGCTCCTGCTACTGCTACTGCTGCTACAAGCAGGACTTCAACAAGCACTTCTTTCAGAAGCAGCTCCTCCAGGACCAGCGAGATCTGGATATCTTTCGCCTTCGAATCTCTGACATAGTCCCCACGGCAAGTCACGTGCACTTCCTGACCGAGTCTGCCGGGCAACCATGCACAACCGGAAACCACGTTCACCCAGTGGGTACTGTGTTCGCTACAAACCGCTGCTAGGCTAAGAATTCTCCACCAGCTGGGACGGGGAACGGTGTGGTACTCCCATATCATGTGGATCAGGAGATTCTGCATCAACCCTACGTCGGTCCGCAACACCACGGTGAATGGCAAATAGAAACACCTCCCATGCTCTAAAGCCCATGGAAACCAAGTGAGTGCGCTTTGCTGTCTGACAAGGAAACACCATCAACGATTCCGTCAACAAGAGGCACACTTGCTTTTCACACCCTATGCGGCCTATGCGCTGCGAGCTCTGCCTTCCACAGAGTTTCCCCCTGTTTCCCGTCAAAACTCCTCCTTCAATTTCATAGAGAGCAAGGCCTTGTCCTGGCGGCGCATGCCGCATAAATCCCTCTCCCAATATGTGCGGCAGCTGAAAAAAGGATGAACAATGATGAACGCATGTGCACAGTCTGAAGGACTACTGAGCACTGGTCTGACCGCCGAGCCAAGCTGATCTTTGAGTCTGTTGGTTTGAGGAACGAAACAGCAGCTGCTGGAAGATCCACACAGACTTTGTTGCTGCCACTTCAGCAGAACTCTCGATGAAACTGTATGAAACGAATGACCCCAGCTGAATCAGCAACTCGAAGCAGAATGCGAAAAGCTGCACCAGCCGCCAGCAGCTTGGATTTGCTGTGATTGGTTTAAGGAACCGGGACCAAAAATACATATTCCTCAGAAAAGGATTTATCCGAATTTATCCATCGGGACCATCGAAATCACCCTAGGCCCAAACCCATAAGCAAAACCCGGGGCACTGAAAAAACTCACGCAGCCTTGGAGATCCGAACCATGGAGGTCAAACCACCAGGTACAGCCCAAACCCACAACTGTCAGAATGCAAGGCATCGAAAGTCCGACCATCTTGCTCTCTCCCAACGAGGAAGGGATGAACTTGGCTGAACTCTTTTCACCTTCATGAAGGTGAAAGCAACGACTCAGCCCGATCCGCAACAATTACACGGCACAAACACCAAGAAACATCAAGAACCCAACCAGGTCCGTCTACCGCGACGCATCAGGTTCCAAAAACCTTCACACGGCCAACGGATTCGCTCCGTCCAGATTGCACAGTCTCCCTAGATTGTCCGTCCAGAACTTTGGCCAGCTGCCCCATCGGTTGGGCGCCAATCTTGTAGACGGCTGAGTCACCCGTCATGGGCGCCACACCTGGAACCCCCGAGGGCTGAGGGAGTGGGCAAGGCCAAAAGCAAAGGGCCGGTAACAAAGAAACGTTATGGTAGTAATATCTGGCCCCCTCAGTTTCCCTGGAAAACGCACGTTAAACGCCTTGCAACTGTTGGAGTTGAGTGGGGAAACCACTCCCCACAAAAGGTTAGTATAATATAGCTAGATGAAAACGAGGTTTCGACGTTTCGGAACGCCTTTTCACCTTGAGCCAAAACACGTCATGAGTCACGTGTCTGCAGTACTCTAGCGGAGTATTTATGGGCTGTACATGCAAACACTCCTCCTCTTGCAAAGCACTGTACTGCTGCGCAAGCTTAAAGAAAGTATGTGAATCTTCCCGCTGCTGAGCCACTTTGAGTTGTGGTAGTGGAGCTTGGCCAGGGACCTTACTCCAAAATTGCAACCATAGGTATCGAGTTTGGATGTGTCTGGCTTTACCCAAACCCACTCGGTTCACAGTTCCTTTGGCTGCGTTGGAATCGCCTTCTATGGTGACTTCCAAATCCAAACCAAGATCTGCCCATAGGCTTTGAAGTCCTAAGCCCACAGATCCGCCCTTCACGAGTGCGTAGTATTCGCTCTCGCCTGTGGAAAGGGCTATGGTGGATTGGATGTTACTGCTGTGTTTCAGCACATGTGTGCCATAAATGGCAACCATGCCAGTCGTGCTTTTGCGTGTCACAGCATCTCCACCGTGGTCAGCGTCGACCTGGACCCTCAGCCTCGAGGGTGCCTGTTGTGAGCCAAAACATTGCCCAACATCAGGGTATTTCTTCAAGTACCTGATGAGACGTTTCAAGTCTGCAAGTTTGGCTTCTGTTGGCGACACCATACCTCGAGCAAGGTTCTTGACTGCGTGTCCAATATCGAGTCGATCTTGGGACAGATACGCAGCACGCATCGTAGCTGAACGATACTTCGATGCCTCGCTCTTATCAAGCAGCGGACTGCGGCTTTCCAGCATCTGCTGATCTGCCGACTTCTTGACATCTGGTGATTCCACACCATTTGCCTTTTCCAGACCAAATGCCTGGATCAAAAGATCAACATGTCTCCGATCGGCTTCGATCACAATCGATCCTTTGCCGTTCTTCTTTTCGACTCGGATCAACCGATTCAGAAAATGGGCTTCTGTTCGGTCTCCATCCTCGTCTCCAAGAATTCCGAGACATTTCAGCTCATAGGCATCTTTGAGGACTTGGCTGAGCTTCTCCAAGTGTTGGGCGTCTCCGAGTGCTAGGAAGTCATCTCCATGCACCATCACTCTGACGTCCCAAGCTTCTTGGTAGAAGACTGACGCATTCGACAACCCTCTGCGGAAACCAGCCTTCTGCCGAGTCTCTGTGTAGTGCGTCTGCCAGATATTTGGAGCGTCCTGTGTCCCATACATCGACTTCACGAGAAGTCCACAGGTTCGTCCATCTTTGCTGGCTTCGTCCTCAGGCGGCAGCTCTATGTAGATCTTTCTCTTAGGAGTTCCATAAAAGTGTGCTCGTGAGATGTCCCACAAGCCCAGCTTCAGCGGCTGGTTGTGGCAGGACTTTCTCTTTGTTGCCCACAACGAGCACAGCAGTCTCATCGCCTCTAGTGGGGGCGTGCTGCTGAAAAGCAAGTTGGCTGGCAATTGTTCTTCTTTGGTCTTTCTTGCCTTTATCTCACGCACAACTAATCGGCTCCTGTAGTTCGGGTTTGTTGGATCTCCCTTGTTGGCGTCCAACCATCTGACTGGAATTGGGGGCTTCCCCGTTTCCTCAAAACATTCGGCTCTCGGCCGGGGCACATAAACGCCATGCTTCTCTCTCAAGTAGTCCATCTCAAGGCGTCTTGCCTCCTTCACTTTCTCGGCTGGCAAAATGCCGCCGTTAACATCATCCATGTAGACCTCTTCGAACTCTGGGTCCATCAGAGGCATCTCTGGAACTGGGCCTGCTGCGAACAGATCGAAGGTGTTCAACTCACCTTTCTCTGCTAGTGTGTCACGCAGGCTCCTCAGCACTGCTTTCACAAGCTGCGGTGGGTATACCGCTGCCTGCCTAGCAATGCCTCCGATCAGATGGATGCGTCGGTGCCATGGTCCTTTGCCCGATTCATTCGAGCAGACTCCTTGCAAGACTCGGGCCAACCCTTCATCGTTGGTCATCCAACCGGTCTCCTTTCTCACATAGCCGGTGCCTTGGAGTCCTCTTCGGTCGGTGGCCATCATCTGCCACCTGCACATTGGACCTTTCACCACAAACACTCCATCTTCTTTTGCTAAGGCCTCAACCTCCTCATCTTTCCAGCTGGTCGCGGCCCATGGTGCCTCTTGGAGGAATTTGCGTCCAGAGCGATGCTGCTTGACATACAGCTCTAGGCTCGTATGAAGGTGATGGACGGCTTCGTCCATTTTCTTCCTCTGACATCTGGCGCCATGTTCCTCCAGTTTAGATTCTGGAGCTGTGAGAACATATGGCACGGAGGCGAACCAGTCAAGAGAGCCGGTTCGTCTCTCTCTAAGATGTCGTGCACCTCTTGGACGTCTTCGGACTTGTTCAAGTCCCAGTATGTTCCATCTTTCTTCATTTCATTCAAGTCGACCGCAAAACCCGGTCGCAACTTGTACCGCTCTGCAAGCGCGGTGAACCTCTTGGGCGAGTAGATTTCCATGACATCTAATCTACTGCTGACATCTGCCTACTCAAATGCGCGATGTCTCCGATCTCTTGCTCAGTGATCTCGATGCCATTCGCCTCATAGGTTCCTTGAATGATCTTCTTCAGATGCTGCTTTGCGATCTCCTTCTCTTTTACCAAGCTTGCTGCATCTGGCTTCCACCCTGCTGGTGGTGTTTCTGGAACATGGGAAAACTGAGACGTTTTCTTTGGACTCTCTTCCACTCTGGGATCAAGGTCTTCTACGGCAGTCTCTGCCGTCCTCTTTGTTCCTTGCGCTGGATTCGGCTTGACCTTTGCCCCGGGTGGATCTATTCTAAGTTCTCCTGTTCTCTTCTTGGGCTCTGTTGCTACCTTGGCTTTCGCCACTGGTTTCTTCTCTATCTCGGCTGCTTGCCTCTTCATCTCATATCTCTCTTTCGGGTCATCGGGATAGGTCTTCTCACCCTTTGCCGCTGTTGGCGGCGGGCTTCCCGATCCCGCGCTCTTTGCTTCTTCTTTCTTCTCTGGTTCTCCGGCCGCGTCTTCGGCCGTGATGTCGGTGTCCTTGTCGGCCACGACTTTCGGCTTCACAGTGTCAAGCTGTTGCCGTTCTTTCCTCTTCTTTGCATGGGCTTCAAGTCTCGCTTGCCCAGCTTCATCCTTTTCCATTGCTTCGGTGATCCTTGCTCTGCACGCCTCTGTGTGCGGCAAGGTCATCCTCTTGTCTTCCAAGATGCACTTGCATCCTGGGCAGCCTTCGGTGGCTCCATGCTTGTGCACATCTTCTCTCCTGATGTACACTCGACTCTGTTGTGGTGGCGCCACTCGTTCCTCCTTGGGAGGTGGTACCACAAGACGCTCTTCGAGCATCAACTGCTCACCGGCAGGCCTTGCCGCGGAGTGCTCCCACGGTAAGCCCCGCAAAAGGTCCCAATCGCTTGGGTCCCAGCGGTCGGCTGAACTCAGCCGCCGGATTCCTGTGCCTCTGCGCACGCCATCGGCCGTCATTACCAAAATGGATCCTGTTCGGCCATGGTGACCTACATAGCGTCCTTCTTTCAGGATGCGAACTCCCTCGCCTACTTCTCTAAAGTATAGGCGTTCACCAAAAGCTATGGCGGGTTTCCGCCACTGCTTTCCACATCTTCTGGCCTCAGGCGTTCTGCCATCTTGACCTTTCTTGTACCTGCTCAACAGGTCTCCTGCCTGCCTTGGCTGCCATGCTAATGCAGGATCATCATCTTTGAGCTCTTTGCCGAGCTTCTCTTCCAACGCGCTGCGGAGGACTTGTACTTGACGTTTGACCTCCTTGCAGGTGTTCTCTGCCAGGCCATTCGCTTGATGGTCTCCTACTGGCGACTCTTCCGAAATCCAGTCTATGCAGGTTTCTTTCGCTGCTGCCTCTTTCAAGGCTACCACGGATGGCTCGCCATCCGACTTGAGAACCACCCTGCGGTGTCCCAAGTTCTTCAAGAAGTTCGCCACGAACTTCACTGCATACGGCGTTGCTCCCTTCGAGTCCACGAAGGTCGCCGCTAAGGACTGTGTCCTCTCATCTTTCACCACGAGGATCGGCTTTACTCGCTCGTCCTCCACACCGCCTCGTGACATGAACGTATAGTCCATTGCCACTGTGGGCACAAGGCTCTTTGCCTTCTGTTCCTCGGACCTCGTCCGATGCGGCTGTCCTACAGCCCGTCCAGCAATACAATGCCGGCACCAATTCCGATACTGCACATGGCCTGTCGCCTCGTGCTCTTCGATCTCAGCCGGAGTTGGATCCTCCGGTGCTCTTATCTGGATGGGTTTCTCAACCTCATCAACTAATTCCAACTCATCATCCTCTTCTCGCCCCTCTGGACCAGGTCGGCCTGAATCCATAGAGGCATCTCCTCTTTCTCCTGCGGCGTTCAACTCTGCAATGCCACAGCATTCCTTGGTCGGTTTATACCCTGGCTTTCTCAAGTAGAAATTGTACACTCCCTGCTCTTGATACACAGGGATCCAACTTCGCTGCTCTGCAGCGCTCGCTTTCTCCAGGATCGCCTGAACAGCCTTTCCAACTTTGGACCCTTGCGGAATCAAGTTTCCGCCATTCACATCAAGAACTGCAATCCTTCCAAAGCCTAAGCACTTGGATGCTGAAATCAATGGCTTGTGAACATCGGCCATTGAGCCTTTCACGCGGCATTTGTTGCCGCTCTCGTCGAACCCCTCAAAGGTTCCAATGCCCTGACTGGGCACCAACTCTCCTGATGCAGTCTTGAAAACAACCCCGTTGCCTTCACTGACAACCACTCGGTCCTCCCAGCCATTCGGGATGGCTGTCTGGGCTGCTCCAGTGTCCAGGTTAAACTTCATCCATTCTTCGGCGGATGAAGCATCCGCTATTCCAACTCCACTCAAGTCTGCCATGAGCATTCCGACATCTGCTTCCGGAGCTGGCTCAATGCCATCATCCGGATCGTCCATCTCTTCCATACTTCCTGCGGCTTTACCTTTGCCGCCTTTTCCACCTTTGCCTTTACTGCCTTTGCCACCTTTGCCACTCTTGTCTCCTTTGCCTGAACCTGACCATTTATCGCCTTTTCCATCCGGCCGTTTCTTGCTCCAGCAATCGGCCGCTCGGTGTCCCTTCTTACCGCAATTGTAGCAGGTGATATCTTGAGCCGTACTTGAGCCTTTACTTGATTCTCCTTTGCTTGAGCCTTTCTTTCCATCACCTTTGACCTGTTTACC